CCTAAACTCCAAAAACCTTAAACCCTGAAAACCCTAAACCCTAAACACCTCAAACCTTATAAAAACCCTGAACCACCCAAACCCTAAAGATTACACAAGTGTTGGTTCCCAAAAGCTTAAAAATCATGAAGCCCAAAACCCTCAAACCCTAAGAGGCCCAAACCCACTCAACCCCAAAAAAACAACTCAAACCTTATAAAACCTTGAGCCCCTCGAAAGCCTAGGGCCTTAAGGCCATCTGAATCCAAAGAACTCTTAAAACCTTAAACCCTCTAAACCCTAAAACTCCTAAACCCTAAAACCCCACACCCCAACACCCTAAAGCCTAAGAACCCTCAACCCCTCAAAACAAAACAGTCAACTCTCCAGGCTCTCAGCCCTGAAAACCCTTAGGCCCAAAACCCTGAACCCTGGGCCGGAAACCTTAAGCCCTACCAAGTTCCACACCCTCCTCTGAGGAGGGCCTCCCCTGGGGAGGTAGTAGCTATTAGAAAATCCTCCACTCAGGAGGCACCCCCCCCCCCCCCCGCCCAGAGAAGCAACATCAACCAAATCCTCCCCAACATTGGAGCCACCCCAACCTGTTAAAAAAAAAACTTTTTTTAACATTTTTTTAACGGGATTTTCCTTTAAAAGTAAAGGCAAAGCCCGTTAAAAAATTGTTAAAAAAAAGTTTTTTTTTAACAATCATCCCTGCCCATTCCTAGGTCTGTTCATCGGCAAGGGCCAGGCACCGGGGCTGCTGCAGCTTGAATCCTTTGAGGATTCGAGCTCTGAGTTTTTAGTGAGGGTTGAGGGTCATCCCCTGGGGATGCTTGCATGCATGTGGAGTGTCAGACAGCTGCATCCATGGTGAATGTGTATGTCCATAGGCATCATCAGTGAACCCCGTTCGGCCCGTAGATTGTCCCGGCCAGCCTCAGCGAGCATCATGGGCAAGAAGCCTTCTCCCGTTCCCAAAAAAGCTGCAGTCAAGAGCATTGCGAAACCAAAGGCGAAGCCCAAGGCGAAGCAGCTTCCAGAGAAGCCGACTGCAACCACAGCAGACGATCGAAAGAACATGTCTGGCTTCGTCACGTCCATGAAGTACAAGCAAACTGCCCAGAACAACAAGCACAGCACCATAGCTCAGAAGTTGCTGGAGGCCCTGTGTTCTGAATGAATGTGCTTTTGCTTTTTGTGTGTCGGCTGTTTACACGTGTACATGCATGTCGCTGTGCCCTGTTCAGAAGTACAACACCTTGGACAACGATGGAAAGAAAGAGATGGCCAGCAAGTATTCCGAGCACGGGCCCAAGGACTTGACGTGGGCGGCGGCATACATCGAGACGAGCACTCATGACGAACAAACAGAACGAGAGAAAATCAAAGGCATGTGCACTCGCAAAGAAATTTTGGACATGGAGGGCATTGACACGGAAGGAATGCCAGAGAAAATGAAGGAGGAAATCCTGAATGAGCTGCTTCAGCAGTTGTGGGCCCGACTCAAAACCGACCCATCCAAGGACCCTCGTCGCCGACCACCGCATTCCCCAGATGAAGAAGTACTACTACGAGCACGATGCTAAGATCAAGGAACGGGAAACAGACACTCGAAGCCAGTCCATGAATGTACAGACCACTGGCTTCAAGATGGAAACCGCGCAAAAAATGCTCACCCATGTCGAGTCCGACCCGAACATCAAGATTGAGAACCCGTGGCATGTAGAGCTCATGGTGAAGGTAAAGGCTGTGTGGCAGGCTAAGGGCAAGCTAGATAAGGAGGAGACCCTGCTCAAGGACACTTTGGCTGACTTCGAGACGGCCGTGCACGGGAAGGCTGGCTTCGACAAGATCGTCAAAGAATACGAAGTCAAGCTGGGAGTGCTCACCACGTTCCTCACCGACCTGAGAAAGTCGTATGCCAAAGTCAGCAAGATCGATCCTTCGGATGAAGCCTTGTGCAAGACTGCCTTGGCTGAGTGGCAAAGTTTCGGAGAGCACATGTTGATTCACCAGGAGGGTGGTAAGCAGATGAAAGCCGGCACGAGGGCATTCATTCCCTGAGGGAATTACTTTTGAGTAGCAGCCATGGCATTTTGATCGTAGCCGTTGCTGAAACAAAGCCTCTAGCATCCCAAGGCCTTGGAATGTTGACAGTTCGAGCACCGAGGTGTGTTTCTTCGATTCGTCGTGGACCCACAGTTTGCAGCTTATGCTCCAGTGCGAAATACCTGTTCTGCATGCCTGCCTGCATGCCTGTGTACATGTCTATACAACAAAACCCAGCTGTGTACATCTATTATATATACACACATATATGTTATAGGTATATAGACACAGTTCCGGAGGTGCTGGTTCTCATGGCCCCCGATTGCGCGGATCTGGAGGAGAGACCTTCCCTGAAAAAAATGTTGTATCAATGCTACCATGATGAGTGCGAGTTTCTTCATGTTGGCTGACTCGCAGGACAAGCACAGCGACACAGGAATGAAAAAAAAACAGTCGTGCTCCATGCCAGCTTCTCTCAGCGACGATGCCTGCAACTCTCCCCTGGGGATGAAGTGCATGTTCAATTAATGTACTCGCCATCGTTTGTCTCAGCTTATTAAGGTGAATGGATGACTTCTAAACCCTCAAGCCCTAAACACCCTAAACCCTAAACACCCTAAACCCTGAACACCCGAAACCCTAAACCGTCAGTTGTATTGCTCTGTGGAATAACCATGATGACAGCTTTTGGAAGCTAGACAGCTTGAGAGCAGCTTGTTCGCAGCACTTGGATAATGTTTCCAAAGAGCTGGGATTTCGGGATGAGAGACTTCTCCCGATTGGTTTATGGCTTGACGGTGTTCCAGTAAAGTATGACAGGTCGGAATCCCTCGAGGTCGTCACGATGAATTTTCCTCATGTCGGGGGTGATCTTGCTTCAATGCGATTTCCCCTAACAGCACTCTACAAGGGACACTGTGCAAAAACTTCTACTCTCGATGCCATTATGCACGTGTTGGCCTGGTCGCTCACCTGCCTTGCTGAAGGTGTTTTCCCCAAGTATGGGCCACATGGAGAAGAGTTAAAAGGCAAACGTGCTAAACTTGCTGGCAGGAGCTTGCATGCAAAGGGCATATTGGTGGAGGTCCGGGGCGATTGGGCTGCATTCAAAAGTGTTTTTCGCCTACCAGCTTGGTCTCAGACAGATGCCTGCTGCTACCGATGCCAAGCCAACAAGACAAATCTCAGCTTCATGGACGCTAGCAGCACAGCTCCATGGCGACAGCTTCCACTTACACACTGGGAGCTGGTTGGTAGGATTTTTGCAGCACACGGATCATGTTCCCCCTTGTTTGCATGTCCGGGCTTCAAGACCGATGTTTTTGCAATAGATTGGTTGCATTGTGTCGACCAGGGGGTCGCGGCGGACTATTTGGGCTCTTTGATGCACACAATCCTCAAGGAAATCCCCGGAAGCCCAACAGAGAAACTGGCTTGCTTGTTCAAACATGTGCAGGATTTTTACAGACGGAGCAATGCTGAGTCCAGACTGGACAATCTCACAGCCGGAATGATCAAAAAGCAAAATGCTGCAAGCCCAAAGCTACGATGCAAAGCTGGCGAGGCTAGGTGCCTCATCCCGTGGATCTCTGAAGCTTGTGAGCACTTCCTCACTGGGGACACTGCTGAGCATCGGGCAGCAACGGATGCAGGGAAGTATCTGCAAGAGTGCTATTCCCATTTGAGTCCTGCTCGTTTTGATAGGAATAAGCTAGCTGCAGCCTGCCGAAAGTTTTTGCTTTTGTATGCTAGCTTGGCTACCCTGTACAGCAATCAGTCGGTCTGGCGCTTCAAACCCAAGCACCACCTTTTCCTTCACCTCTGCGAGGAAAGCTTGGACTCCCCAAGCTTGCATTGGAATTATCGCGACGAGGACTTCGGGGGAAGCCTGGCCCATATAGGGGAGAGAAGGGGAGGGGCTAACACAGCCAATGTTTTGTCTCACATTGTGTTGCAAATGTTCTATGCCAAGCACCAGATCCCAATTTTCGGCCCTCTGTAACAAACCAAGATCGAAGGGGGGGGGGCTTGCACAGCCCATGCTTGCATGCAGTCTCACCTTGTGTTGCGAATCTTTTGTGCCAAGCAACAGGTGCTTAATTGCTTTCGGCACTCTGAGAGAAACAAAGATCTCCATTGCACTGCAGGCATGATATATAGCTGCTCCCCTGGGGAGTGCTGCATTTCATGCTTCGGGGGCATGCAATTTTCATGATCTACTTTCGTGAATGGTTTTTGCTTGATGTTGCATGGCATGTGTGTGTGGTGTGTGCATGGTCTGTGGGGTGTAGTGTGGTGTGTTGTGTGTGGTGTGTGTGTGTGTTGTGTGTGTGTGGGGTTGTCTGGTGTGTGTGTGTGTGAGGTGTCTTGTGTGTGTGTGTGTGTGTGTGTGTGTGTGTGTTGTGTGTGTTGTGTGTGTTGTGTGTGTTGTGTGTGTTGTGTGTGTTGTGTGTGTTGTGTGTGTTGTGTGTGTTGTGTGTGTTGTGTGTGTTGTGTGTGTTGTGTGTGTTGTGTGTGTTGTGTGGGTTGTGTGTGTTGTGTGGGTTGTGTGTGTGTGTGTTGTGTGTGTGGTTGTGTGGTTGTGTGTGTGTGTGTGTGTGTTGTGTGTGTGTGTTGTGTGTGTGTGTGTGTGTGTGTGTTGTGTGTGTGTGTTGTGTGTGTGTGTGTGTGTGTGTGTGTGTGTGTGTGTGTGTGTGTGTGTTGTGGGTGTGTGTGTGGTGTGTGTTTGTTGTGTGTGTTGTGTGTGTTGTGTGTGTTGTGTGTGTTGTGTGTTGTGTGTGTTGTGTGTGTTGTGTGTTGTCTGTGTTGTGCGTTGTGTGTGTTGTGTGTGTCGTGTGTTGTGTGTTGTGTGTTGTGTGTTGTGTGTTGTGTGTTGTGTGTTGTGTTGTGTGTGTGTGTTGATGTGTGTGTGTTGTTGGTGTCCATGTGCCACCACATTTAACCAATGTTTTTTGCACGTTAATTAAGGAAGGTGTACCTTTCTTATAATTAGGAACCTTTCTTATTTAAAGTTTGCTTAAATAAGCACGAAAGTTAATTAAGCAACATTGGGCTCTCTGGGGAGCAGCGAGGAGCCTGCGCGCTCTGCGCCGCGCCCATCGACGCGGGCAGCTGCGAGGCGGACCACGTGGTGCCGGTGCACCAGTCCTTCTTCGGGCAGCGGCAGCGGCTGCAGGCCGTGTGGTTGGAGTGCCACCGCGCGAAGACGTTCCTGGAGTGCTCCCACGCCACGAGCCTGGAGAGCCGCTTCTGCCGCCACGTCTACGAGAGCTACGCCTGCTCTCCCCGACTGCCTCCCCTGGTGTGCGGGTTGTCGAAGTGCAACCCCGAGAAGGTGTGCCAGGGCGTGGACGTGGTGCGCTGCCGGAAGAACGCGCTGGCCAACGCCCCCTTCCCGCTGCCCGTCTTCTGCCCCCTGGACAGCATCCGGCCGGCGGAGGAGGGGCAGCTGGCGGACCTCACCTTCGTGCGGAAGCGGGAGGACAAGCGCGAGGGCTTCATGGCGCGGCTGCCCTACGTCGGCCCGGGCTGGTACGGGAAGCCGGCGGTGGCCTACATGCTCGACGCGGGCCTCGCGGGCGCTGGAGATCATGGAGACTGCCTGGTCGGAGGGGGAGGAGCACTTCGCGAAGCTGAGCGTGAACGCGCTCATCGGGCTGTGGGCGCGCTCCAAGGACGTCTACTACTCCATGAGAACGAGCAGCCACGAGGCGGACGCCTGGGGCTCCCAGTTCCTGCAGGTCTTCTTCGACACCGCGGGCGCCTGCCACTACGACCACGTCTACGCCACGGAGCTCTTCACGAACCGCTCCACGCGCCCGGCGCACGACTTCGTGATGGCCTCCGAGTACGTGGCAATGGCGAGGATCCACCGCGCGCTGCGGGATGTACCACCCCGCTACCTGGTGGCGCTGAAGACCGACTGCCTCGTGTACCAGAACCTGCCGAAAAAGTTCCTCCCCGCCGTGGAGGCGCTCACGCGGCAGCGGCATCGGGACGGCACGCCGAAGTTCCGTTTTGAAGAGGTAAAGCGGTTGGAGGGAGACTACCGAGAGCCGCGGCTGGAGACGGAGCCGCCGCCGAGGCAGGAGCCCTGGAGGCACGTGGAGGACCCCGTGGCGCACTGTCTCGACGGGGAGAGCCTGCTGCTCTCCGGCATGCCGGGCACGGGGAAGACGCATTTGGCGAGGCAGATCGTGGCGCAGCTCTCGGCGCAGGGCGAGGACGTGACGCTCATCTCGAAGACACACTGCAGTGTGCAGAACGTGGGCCTGGGGGCGCAGACGGCGGACCTCTGGGTGCGGCGCACCATCCGCGCTGGCCGCTGCGCGCTGGACTGGCTCGTGGTGGAGGAGGTCACGCAGCTCGACGTGGGGCTGTGGGCCGACATCGCTGAGCTCTCGACGAACCGACGGGTGCGCTTCCTGCTGCTGGGCGACTTCCGGCAGCTGCCCGCGGTGCAGGACGCCTTCGGGGGCTCGCAGGTGCTGCGCTCGCTGCTGAAGGAGTCGCAGCTGCTGCACGACCTGGCGGGCGGCTGCGTGCACGAGCTCACGGAGAACCGGCGCAGCGACGAGACGATCTTCCGCTTCCTGCAGTGGCTGCGCGTGGACGAGCCCGAGCAGGCGCCGCTGCGGGAGGCCGTGCAGGCGGCCCGGGAGCGGTTCCCGCGGCGGGGCCACCCCGACACCTGCCTCGTCATCTCCCACGCCCACAGGATGGCCATCAACGAGCGAGAGAACAAGAGGCTGGCCCCGTCGGAGGGCGCGCTGGTCGTGGAGCACCGGGCGCCTCAGCAGGCGGGCACAAACCAGCCGCAGACCATGAGAGTGTGGCCAGGGCTGAGGCTCGTGGGCGCGGGGGGCAGGGTGCCCAAGGGCTGCTTCGCGACGGTGCGGGAGGTGGCGGAGGAGCGGATCTCGCTGGACGACGGGCAGAGCTTCACGCCCGCGGAGCTGCTGCGACACACGCGCCTCTGCCACGCGATTACCTACGCCTCGTGCCAGGGCCTCACGCTGCGGGGGAGAGTGTGGCTCTGCGACGCCGACAACCCGCATTTTTCAGTCAAGCGGCGCGTCGCGGGCCACGAGCGCGGAGCTCCTGAGCGTGCTGTGAGGACTTGCACCCCGCTGCCCTTGAGGGTGGTGCGCGACACGCACCACCCCCAGAAGTCCCCGAAATGGTGCTTAATTGCGCCCGGCTGCCCTTGAGGGTGGTATGTGTCGCATACCACCCCCCGGAGTCCCCGAAATGGTGCTTAGCACCCCACTGCCCTCGCTTGAGGGTGGTGTGGTACACGCACACCACCCCCTAAGAGTCCCGAACCGAGGCCTCGGTAGCACCGCTCGGGGTGCCCAACCGGTTGTCGTCATACGACGACAACCATCGTGGCCGTAAATTTCGGTGATTTGTCCCGATATTTTCGGTGCTGGATTTGTCAAGTTGACAAATCTGAAAATTTCTCAAGCTGCTTAATTGCACCCCGCCGCCGTCGCTTGAGGGTGGCGGCTCGCTGCCCTGTGCAATCCCGAGGAATCCCCGGGGCTGCCCAACGCGTTTCAACACAAGTGTCACCTGTCTTCAATCCTCGCTGTGCAATCCCGAGGATTCCCCGGGATGGACCGGGCTGCCCAAAGGCTCGCAAACGGGTGCTAGTGTCTCGCTGCGCTGCATCGGACTCGTGGTGCTGGGGCGAGACAAGACAACACAACCGAGTTGAGACAACGCTAGCTGCTCCTCGCTGCATCCCGAGGATTCCCCGGGATGGACCAGGCTGCCCAATAGTATGCATCCAGGCCCTCAATCGGGTGCCCAATCGCGTGTGATCTAACGATAACACCAATCGTGGCCGCAAATTTCGGTGATTTGTCCCGTAACTTTCGGTGCTGGATCTGTCAGTCAACTTGACTGACAGATCGGGAAATTTCTCAAGCGCCCTGCGCAGGTCTTTGTCTGAGGGGCCCAGCCATCCCGAGGATTCCCCGGGATGGGGTGCCCAAACAACGACATTCGGCAAACAGAAGCGAGGTCGGAATTCCGACTTCGGTCGTGGGTCCATTTTTTGGCATTTTTGCTTTATTTTCCAAGACAGCCGAAACACCTCGCTGTGCTGCATCCCGAGGATTCCCCGGGATGGACCGGGCTGCCTAAACAACGGCATTTTCGACACCGCTGATGAAACATAAGTGACACTTATGCTTTCTCGCTGCCCTGTTCTGGTCCAAACGCTGCAAAAACGCTTTGTCCGAAGTAGATACAGCGCGTATCCACTTCGGACATCTCCACACGCATGTCTCATACCCCCCCCCTCGCTGCCCCCCATCCCGAGGATTCTCCGGGATGGGCCGAGCTGCCCAAACGACGGCATCCAGGCTCGCAAACGGGTGCCCAATCGGGTGTGATCAAACGATAACACCCATCGTGGCCGCAAGGTGATTTGTCCCGAAACTGTGTGCTGCATCCCGAGGATTCCCCGGGATGGGCTCTCAAGCCTCGCTGGTGGGGGGGACTAGCTGCCCCCCGAGGACCTGCCACCGGTGGGACGACTAACACAACCTGAGACAACACCAAGAGTGCCCGGGCGGGGGAGCTGCCGCTGGGGACTCGCTGCTCCTGCTGAACTCGGGGGTGGTGGTGCTGACAGCCCTGTGCAATGCCGAGGAATCCCCGGGATGGACCGGGCTGCCCAAACGACGGCATCCAGGCTCTCAACCGGGGTCCCAATCGGATAATGCCAAACGGCATCATCCATCGTGGCCGAAAATTTCGGTGATTTGTCCCGAAACTTTCGGTGTGCTGCATCCCGAGGATTCCCCGGGATGGGCTCTCAGGTGCTCCTCGCTGTTGGGTGGTGCTGGGGACTCCCGTGAGACGAGACAAGCTGCCCGAGGACCTGCCACCCCGTGGTGGGACGACTAACACAACCGAGCTGAGACAACACTAGTGGAAACTCGGGGGTGCCCAACCGGGCGGGGGAGCTGCCGTGGACGCCGAGAACAACCGAGCTGAGGCAACACCGTGCTGCTGAACCTCGGGGGAGCTGCCGTGGACGACAACACAACCTGAGGCAATACCATGCTGCTGAACCTCGGGGGTGCGGGGAGCTTCCGTGGACGCCGAGACTGAGACAACACAACCGAGCTGAGACAACACTAGTGGAAACTCAGGGGTGCCCAACTGGGCGGGGGAGCTGCCGTGGTGGGACGCCGAGAAACAACCGAGCTGAGACAACACTTCCTGAACCTCGCGGGTGGGGGGGAGCAACCGAGCTGAGACAACGCTAAGGTCGCTGCTCCTGCTGAACCTCGGGGGTACCCAACCGGCGGGGAAGAGGTACTGTCCTCCGGGGGGACAGTTTCGGTAGAAAATTTCCCGCTGTGCTCCTGCTCTGTCTCCTCTGCCGTGGTGGGACGCCGAGACACCTGAGACAACACAACCGAGCTGAGGCAACACTAGTGTCTCAGTGTCTCAGGTCGCTGCTGCTGCTGAACCTCGGGGGTGCCCAACCGGCAAAGTGTAGACGCGGAACGTGGACGCGGAACGTGGCTTGCGAAACCACCTCTCTCTTAAGTGGGAGTGTCCCCGCACCCCTACATTACAGCTGAGAGGATCGGAGTTTGAAGTTTCGAGTATACAGTCCCACAATGAAACTGGATTATATTCCAGTTTCGACCCTCTCAGTAGCTCATCTGTGCCCCGATTTCCCGCCCCGAAATTTGCGGAGTAGGAGGAATCGCATCACAGTGCAGTTCTGGGCTGCGGACCTGTGGAGTGCCACCCCTTCTTCTCCCCTTGGCTCCCCTTGGCTTGGGGCTGGGGGCTGGGGTTGGCTTTCTTTTCTGCCCTGCTTCTCTGGCTTGCCTTGGGGCTGGCGGCTGAGGGCTGGGTTTTTTGGGGCTGGGTGGGCTTGGGGCTGGGGCTGGGTTTTTTTGGGGCTGGGGTTGGGGTGGGCTTGGGGCTGGGGCTGGGCTTGGGGCTGGGGCTGGGGCTGGGTTTTTTTGGGGCTGGGGTGGGCTTGGGGCTGGGGTGGGGCTGGGTTTTTTTGGGGCTGGGGCTGGGGTGGGCTTGGGGCTGGGGTGGGGCTGGTTTTTTTTGGGGCTGGGGCTGGGGTGGGCTTGGGGCTGGGGTGGGGCTGGGTTTTTTTTGGGGCTGGGGCTGGGCTTGGGGCTGGGGTGGGGCTGGGTTTTTTTTGGGGCTGGGGGTAGGCTGGGTTTTTTTTTCTCTTCCCTGTTCCCCTTGTGGCGGTCCGCAGCCCAGAACTGCACTGTGATGCGATTCCGAATACGAGCAAATTTCGGGGCGGGAAATCGGGGCACAGATGAGCTACTGAGAGGGTCGAAACTGGAATATAATCCAGTTTCGTTGTGGGACTGTATACTCGAAACTTCAAACTCCGATCCTCTCAGCTGTAATGTAGGGGTGCGGGGACACTCCCACTTAAGAGAGAGATGGAGGATTCGGTGGAAATCGCGACCCAACCGAATTGTTGCCGAAAGACCCTACGTCGATCGTAGACATTCTCATGGTGCCCACCCCTATTTGTCGCAAACCGGGTGGCATGGACGGGTTCCTTGTGCCACCACCGCCACGAGCAGCACCACGGCACCACACCATAAGACCACCTTCACGAGATACCAAACGGGACCACAGACCCCACGTGAGACCACCAGCACGGCCCCACCACCATGGACCACCCCCACAAGACCAACACCACGAGACCACCAGCACGGCCCACCAACACGGACCACCAATTCATAATCAGAACTCCAAGGCTCTTAGAAACTCAAGGCTAGTAAAAAAATCTCTATATACTTCTTATCGTCATTGAGGTCGGCCATATCATTCCCTATCACGTCATATAATGGGCAATATTTCTCTATCAAGTCAGAATATACAATCCGCCGAGGCCTCGGGCCGGAGGTCAGAACAGGCACCCCCCTCCAAATCCTCCCCCCACACCCAAAGCCACTTTTCGGGACCCCACCGCCCCCACCCCACCCCACCCACCCCCCCCCCCCCCCCCCCCCCCCCCCCCCCCCCCCCCCCCCCCCCCCCCCCCCCCCCCCCCCCCCCACACCCCCCTCCGCCCCCCTTCCCCCCCCACTCCCCCTACGCCCCTGAGGGGCCTGGCTCAACCCTACGATCAATCCAAGCCGAACCGTCTTGAACCCTACTCCCAAAAAAACCCTAAACCCCAAAGCGTGAACCTTGAGCCCTAAGCCCTCAATCCTAAACTAAACACTCTCTATCATATGTATATTTAATGGCTAATGGCTTCCCGGTTTTTCCACTAAAAATTCCCGGTTTTCCACTAAAAATTCCCGGTTTTCCACCAAAAATTCCCGGTTTTCCACTAAAAATTCCCGGTTTTCCACTAAAAATTACCGGTTTTCCACAAATCCCGGTTTTCCACCAAAACTTCCCGGTTTTCCACTAAAAATTACCGGTTTTTCCACTAAAACTTCCCGGTTTTTCCACCAAAAATTCCCGGTTTTTCCACTAAATATTCCCGGTTTTCCACTAAAAATTACCGGTTTTCCACTAAAAATTCCCGGTTTTCCACTAAAAATTCCCGGTTTTCCACTAAAAATTCCCGGTTTTCCACTAAAAATTCCCGGTTTTCCACAATCCCGGTTTTCCACTAAAAATTCCCGGTTTTCCACTCTAAATTCCCGGTTTTTCCACTAAAACTTGCCGGTTTTTCTACCAAAAACTCCCGGTTTTTCCACTAAAAATTCCCGGTTTTTCCACTAAAAATTACCGGTTTTTCCACTAAAACTTCCCGGTTTTTCCACCAAAAATTCCCGGTTTTTCCACTAAAAATTCCCGGTTTTCCACTAAAAAATTCCCGGTTTTCCACTAAAAATTCCCGGTTTTCCACTAAAAATTCCCGGTTTTCCACTAAAAATTCCCGGTTTTCCACTAAAAATTCCCGGTTTTTCCACCAAAAAATTCCCGGTTTTTCCACTAAAAAACACCGGTTTTCCACCAAAAATTCCCGGTTTTCCACTAAAAAGTCCCGGTTTTTCCACTAAAAATTCCCGGTTTTTCCACTAAAAATTCCCGGTTTTCCACCGAAATTTCCCGGTTTTCCACCAAAATTTGCCGGTTGCTCGGGGGGCCTACTCTGGGCTGGCTTTAGGGTTTAGGGCCTACTCTGGGCAGGCTTTAGGGTTTAGGGCCTACTCGGTACTGGCTTTAGGGTTTAGGG